ACACATATGTCATATTTGGTGAAGCAAAGATTGAGGACTTGAGCTCACAATTGCAGTCTCAAGCTGCAGAGCAGTTCAAGGCTCCTAATCTAAGCAACGTTATATCAAAGCCAGAGCCATCGACTGTGGCTCAGGATGATGAGGACGTTGATGAGACTGGCGTAGAACCGAAGGATATAGAGCTGGTGATGACTCAAGCAGGAGTTTCCAGAGCCAAAGCTGTCAAGGCTCTCAAGGCTGCAGATGGCGATATAGTCTCTGCTATCATGGAGATTACAAACTAGAATGCTTTCCCAATCTTCTGAGCAGTGCTTTCTTTGAAAGTATTGATGTCTCAAGAGTTTTAAAGGTTTTGAGTTGCTGCTCCTTTTTATCTGTGTGTCCTGTTTATCGTACCGTCTTATCTGTCGTTGTATACCAGATTGGATTGTTATGTAAGAGAGAAAGTTTAAACTTATGATGTCCCTTTCTGTCTTAACTAAATCTTGTCTTGGCTGAGGCCTTCTTAGCCTTTCTGTTTTTCGAAATAGTCCGGGCAGAGAGTGTTTATCGGACACCGCGTGGGAAAATGAAAAAGAAGTGAACTTGTAAGACTCGAATGGGTCAAAATATGTTAAATCAACAAATCGATTAATTTCCAGTTATGTAAGTTCATTTGGGCCAAGATTAGGTATATAACACTGTCCTTGACACAACTTTTCATCTTTCTTTCTACAGAAGATTATAATTAGTATTCCCAACCAAATGTTCCTAAACAAGTATACATAATTTTTCCTCAGTGAAACTTCACATTAAGTTGAAGCATTAGTCGAAAATTCACATGATTCTTTTTACGACTATAAATAACTTATCTCATAATCAACTATCAAACGTGATATTACTTGTATAAGAGTTAATATTGCAGAACTTGCTTCCAAACCAACTACGAAGCGATCCCTTAGAAAAGAAATTCAATCTCACTTAGAAAATCTGATCTCTATCTTTCAACAATTGAACGTGAAGTGGTTTAAGAATAAGGACTTTAGAATTGGATGCGCTCATTCAACGAGAAAGGTGTTGAGTGGCAACTAGTTGCCCAATCTATCCACTTCTTAGAACACAATATGGTAAGTACCTATGATGGTGACCACATCTGCTGGCATGCGATGTTTGGACATAGAATAGAATTGAGTCCTTCTAAAAGAGCAAAGTCATGTTTCAAGGCCTTGTAACTAGTTGTCTTATCTATCCGTCTTTCCAAACACAATATCTTGAGTACCTATGATGGTGACCACATCTACTGGCATGTGATGTTTGGACATAGAATAGAATTGAGTCCTTCTGAATGAGCAAAGTCATGTTTCAAGGCCTTGTAACTAGTTGTCTTATCTATCCATCTTTCCAAATACAATATCTTGAGTATCTATGATGGTGACTACATTAGCTGGCATGTGATGTTTGGACATAGAACCGAGTCGCTGTAAAAGAGCAAAGTCATATATCAAGGCCTTGTACTGATTTGATTGAGATGCTAAAATATTTATCAAAGTTACTTTAACTTACGTCAACATTTTGCTAAATATCCAATATAACTCCATCAACATCTAATACCCTTCCATCTTGATTTATACCCAAGCCCAACCAAGAAAAATGGGAAATATAAAAGAAAAGCACAAGAAAAAAGTATCACTCCATTTTCATCTATGTGAATTTATTCGCAAAAAAAAAACTTGGGAGTAGGTGAAAAAATGAAGAAGAGAATAATTACTAAGATAAAGAATTGAACTCTTATGAATATGTCATAATATTTGAGTACGTATATAAAAAGATACATAACAAAGTATAAAATAAGAATATCTATTATTAAATAATTTTCTTTAGAAAACGCTCTCTATAAAAAAAAAATCATTTTCAAAACTTGGAACTCGAGATCTTCTATCAAGAATGAACGTATGATTTGTGGTTCATTTTCCTCTTCTAATCCATAAGAAGGAAGGACTATTTATAAAGAATTATCCACCACACAAATGATATTTTTTTAAAAAAAAACATAAATTATAGCATCATGCTGTAATAAGCATGACATCATGCTTCAAATTTGCAATAAAATAATAATTTAATTTTAATAATTAGATGGTGATTGAAATTGGCAAAAAGGACACGTCATTGCTCTTCTAACAAACAACTCCAAAGTGGGCCTTAAAGTCTTTCAAGTCAACAAATAGCCCAAATTTATTTCTATCTTTCTTTCCCAATTATACCACCACGTAAAATCGCGATGCGATAAATATTTAGATTGTATTTATAATAATAATATATTGTTATAATTTCAAAAATATTAGAACCATAGTTGTATGTTAAGTTTAATTCTATGTAATTATTGTATAATATAGATATATTGATTAAGACAAATAAATAATTAATTTGACGTGTTATTTTTATATAAAAATATATAATTTAAAGAAGGATGAGTCAATTTTTCAAAGTATATAGGACAGTACTATAAAGTACAGCAACCTATATTTGACTTAGTATTTAATTTTATTGAAAACATCAAATAAATTCAACATTTATGCATCAATCAAGTTGGACGTTAAATTTCTTTCAAATACCTATCAATTTCAAATAAAATGTTGATTGTTGGGATTAGTTGGGTGTTAAGATAGGTATTGTCTAATTAATTTTTGTGTAACTACTTTTCATATAACTCATCACAATATAAGTATATAATTAATTCTGATATAATTTCTTGAACGAATAATCGCTATAGTTTGAAGATGTCAATATTACTTCATGCCTATGTCACTTTCACATTTATATAACAACTCCCTTTGTTACATTTTGTGTGGTGCGTTTTAATTTTTCGATTCATCTAAAAAAGAATGTAATTTTATTTTAATGAGAACCAATTTAATTTTAAAAATCATTTTTTAACCTTAATGAAATGAATCTCAATCACACGAAGATCCAATGATTGTTTCAGACCATAAATTTTAAAAGTTTTTTTTTTCTTGAACACCTTACCAAATCAAAAAGTGTCACATGAAATTAAACGAAGTAAGATTTTTTCCCCATAAAAGTCTTGTTGGTCAGCTACATGACCAGGTCTAACAGTAAAGACAATATACTTCAATTTTCAATCTACAAATATTTCATAAACAATTAATTATTCTAGATAAAGAATATGCCAAAAATATCATGAAACTTAGACACTAAGTCAATCTTTTTTTGTTTTCTTATTTAGTGTTTGATACTCATATTATGATCTGATTAAATTTACATCACGCATTATAAGACTCATCAATCTCTAAACGCGCCAATTCCAATATTTTTTTTTTATTCTCATAAATTTAAACTTGAAATTTCTAATTAACGATAAAATATCTCAACCATGTGTGTCACCCCAAGTCAACCTTGGTATGCAAGAAACCTAACTTGTCAGAATATTATTCCTGTCTCTATGCAGTAACCTTTTGACTAGGGTAAGCATTTGCAGCTATAATTCTTATTCAATAATCTTTATTTAATTTTCCAATAACATATAGTAATAAAATATATAGATACTTCCCAAATCAAGAATACTAAAATAAAAAAATTAGTTCAACACTTTAGAAGTCTCAAACTATAGAATAAGGTAATTCTTATTTTATGTGACTAATTGGTTGTTAGCTCCATGACCAAGTCTAACAATAAAGACATTATATTCTTATTCCAATTGCAAATACTTAACGAAATTTTAAGGTTATGAATTCTGAATTCTATAAAACGTAACTTAAAAATGAATAATAGTTAAAATTATATTTTTATATATTAAGTAAATCTTAATGTAAATATGATTCTGATTAAAATTATTGAATTCTATAAAGTTCGTAAGTAAGACGACATGAAATCTCAAAGCCCTGAGTTCTGTAGTAAGAATTTTTTGAAATTCGATCGGTGTAAATATGATATTAGTTAGTCTTTGTCCTTTCTTATGTGACTACAACTCTTAAAAGAAGGTCAAATAATGTCTCATCCGAAAATTTCCTAATAAATTTGTATCGATTTTCCCGATATTATGCATGGATCAGATATATTATGGTGAATTCTTTGGAAAGACCGGAGAGCAAGGTATTTTCTTTCTTCTGACCGTAGATGTGATCAATATCATTAAGCTTCGATACTCTATAATAGTCAAGCCCGATAAATGAATAACACAAATACAAATCCCACTAGATAACTCATCAGAATAATATATTAAGATATATTCATGATCTATTATAGACCTAAAGTCAACCTAATCTAATTATGTCATAGTATTATTATTATTTTTATTTTTGTCGACATAATTTCAGTAAACGTTTGCTGCTATAGTTCTTGTTTTTAATTCTCCAAGAACAAAATAAAATAAAAAATATATGCATTATAAATATAACATTATTCTCTATACAAGCTGCCAAGGCATAGTAGCAAATATACAAATATATATTATTCTCCATATGAAGCATAAATAAATGATTTTATACATCAGATCATTAATATTTTTGACAATTAATACAAGTGGGGCAACTTTAGTGTACTATTTTTGTATTTAAATGGTTACTATTTGTTTTCAAGAATTTGAATTTTCAAAAAATTCATGATATTTGATTATAGCTCAACGAATTGGCAATGCATAAGGGTTTTAAAATATTTATCCACGACAATTTTTGAATATCGTATGTATCGACTTCTAACTTTCACCTGGTCTCGAAGATCCCTAATTGATCACTTTTAATATGGTCACACATTCATCTTCAAAAAAAAAAAAAAAAAAAAAAACATTCATCTTCAAAATATTTTTATTTTTAGAGCATACATCTTCTAAATACGGAAGTTAACCACTCTCTATATTAATATAAAATAAAGCATTATACTTTTTGTTGTTCAATCTCTACTCCAAATATACTCTAAAACAAAGAGAAATCACAAACAAAGAGAATGAAAATAGAACTAAAAGAGAAAATTGAAAACTAAAGAAACGTCATAGAATTACATAAACAAATTAACCAACTAAATACACATTCTACTTTCTTTTAACCAAAATTAAACCATTTTTTTTTGGAAAAAAACATCTTATAATAATTAATTTCAACATCAAAACATTGTATCCCCCAAGCTAACATCAAACTATAAACAGATCTGATTTTTCCCATTTTACCCCTCCCCTAAACTACAAAGGTGAAATTACAACAAAGTCCCTAATAATACTACTAACTTCATTAGCATTACATTCCTGATTCAAGGGTAGGAAAGCCACAAAAAGAGTCAAAACCATAGCCACCGTCAACCACCACCGCAGACGGCTGACGTACGGCGGCGACACTCCCGGCCACCGCCGGTGGAGGATGCATGAACGATGAAGTGGGGTCCAGTAGAAAAGCTGACGTGTCAAGAGTAGGCAAACAGCTCACCGGCTGTACCCGGTCAACCGGTCGCCTCGGCTCCGGCTTCAAAATAGAAGAAACCGACAACTGCCCGTTCCCGGAGATTCTAGCTCCGGTCACCTGCTGCACCATCTGCCGGAAACTATCGACGTCCGCCGTTATGTACGTAGTCGACGCGCGCTTCGAAGCGCGTGGCTTACGCTTCACGATCTTTTTGCTCACTCCACCACCACCATTCCGCCGCTTCATCGAACCAGAAGCTCCGGTTGAAGCAGCGTCGTTCTCCGACCCACCGGAAAACGTCGGCCCAGATGCACTCGGAGTTAAAAACGGGGAACCCATTTCGACAATAGGCATAACAACCTCATTCCCTTCGCCGGTATATGATTTCTGCAAGACTTTCGTTAAGGTTTCAGTTTCTTTAGCGAAGATATCGGTAAACCATGCATCGTTAAAAGCAGAACGAAAACCCCATTGCTCCATTGTCATCAAATTATCAGAAGACGCCATTTTTGTTTCTTCAGACCTCAAAAATTAACCAAATTAAGTGTTTTTTAGGTCAAAATTGATGTTTACAGCATGTTTTAGAAAGACCCAGATGATGTTTTCGAGGATTTTAGATGAAAAAAGTGAAGAGAGAAGAGGTGTTTAGAGAGAAAACTGGCGAAGAAAATGGGGAATAAATAGGGAAGAAGGAAGCGCGTTTTTGGGGACACGCGTCAGCAGATATGTACGGACAGCAATGACTCAAATACAATTACTTCTAGCATTTTGTTTTGACTATAGGAGTGATCCAATGAGAGCAGAGCTTTATTTCGAGCTTTTATAATCACACAAATATTACGATAAAAAATGACATAGCTTTATATTTAGTTATAATGTAATTTGATATTAAAACACTCATTTTACACTAAATGAGATAATTTAAATTTACACTAACATACAACAATAACATACTAAGTGAAATCTCATAAATATGATTTGAGGAGGTATAGAATAGACATAATACATAAACATGACCCTTAACTTGGCGTCCGCTGGCAACTATGACATTTAACTTGGGTGTGCATAAGTAGACACTTAAACTTGTATAAAATTGAACAAATGAACACAATCGTCCTACATGGCAATTTTGTAACCTACATGTCATCCTATTTGTCTTATGTCATGTAGGACACAGTGGCGGAGTCAGAATTTTCAATAAGAGGGTTCAAAATCTGAAGAAGTGAATACACAAACTAGTCGAAAGGGGTTCGACATCTATTATATACCTAAAAAATATTTTTAACCATGTATATATAGTAATATTTTCCGCCGAATGGGGATCGGGTGACCCCCCTAAGAATATGCTGGCTCCGCCCCTGGTAGGACACGTGTGTCTACTTGTTCAATTTTATACAAGTTTAAGTGCCTACTTGTGCACACTCAAAGTTTGAGGGAATAGTTGTCTGTTGAAGACAAGTTAAGGGTCATGTTTATGTATTATGCCTATAGAATATATGCAAACTTTACCACTATCCTAAGAAAGTAGAGAGACTGTTTCCGAAAGACCCTCGACTCAAAAATAACAGGATCAAATACAAAAAGAAGGAGACAATGAGTTAAATATAGCAAATAAGAAGAAACATTGCATGATCTACTAGAAAAAAGTAGCAAAAGTAAAATAACAGTACGATAATTAAAACACAATTGATAACATACTATAATATACCATCAAATAAATATTTATAATTTATTTTAGAACGTAATTTAAAAATAAAACTCTGTACCGACTCAAACTAGATCGTTTATATGATATGGGGTAAAGTGCAAACCGCATGGATGAATAAAATAACTGTTTGCTTTTTTAGAAAATCCAAAATTAGTACTTATTAGTATATGAGTAATTTTAGACGGTGGAGGCGCGTTATCGGCTTTAGAAGCCGACGCGGTAAACGCGGCTCCCAACATCGGCTTTAACATTCAGATATTTGCTGCTACGTCGTTTAAGGTTTTCGTCTTTTTTCTATTTATTACTCCATTTAAAATGTGTAATATTATTATATTTTTAAAAATATATTTTTTAATATTGTTATAATTCCGTGTAATGATTCGAGTTGCAAGCTAACACTATTAAATACATTTTGCATCTAAATATTGTTGGCAACTCACTAGATCATTAGGTTGGGTGAGATATCAAAAATGAGAATGATGATATTAGTGCAAAAAATTATGTGGAAAATGTGATTTATTGTTAGTGAAAGATTTTACGCATTTAGTCTAGTGGCGGAGTCAGAAATTTTATAAAGGGTGTCCAGAAATAGTAGTTTGTTATGTTAACTGTTAAGGGTGTCCAAAATATGTTATTTAATCATTTCTTGTATTATTTTACTTATATATATGGTATTTTTTTCCCACGAAGAGTGTCCAATTACCACCATGTGACTACGCCACTGGTTTAGTCAATCTACATAGTGTGAATCGATCATAAGAAAGTCTCGAAATGGTTGTCGTTTGGATAGGAACGCAATAATGGTGAAGATGTTTTAACTGTAGAATTATGTTTGATTGTTAAAGCAAATTGAATGATCAAACCGAGCTGACGAATTAAAATGTGTAATATTATTGTATTTTAAAAAAATATATATATAAAATAAAATGATATAATTTAGTGTAAAGATTCGAGTTGCAGGCTAACACTTTAAATACATTTTACATCTAAATAGTGTTGGCAATTCACTAGATCATTAGGTCGGGTGAGATATTAGAAATGGGTGATGATATTAGTGTAAAAATTTATGTGGAAAATGTGATTGAAAGTGAAAAAATTTACGCGTTTAGTCAATCTACATAGTGTGAATTGATCTTAAAAAAGTCTCGAAGGGGTTGTCGTTCAGATAGGTACGCAATAAATGATGAAGATGCTTAGACAATAGAATTATGTCTCACTGGTAAAGTGAATTGAATGATCGAGCCGAGCTGACAAATTAAAATGTGTAATATTATTGTATTTTAAAAAATATATATAAAAAAAATGATATAATTGAGTGTAAAGATTCTAGTCGCAAGCTAGCACTTTAAATACATTTTGCATCTAAATATTGTTGGCAATTGACTTGATCACTAGGTTGGGTGAGATATAAAAAATGAGAATGATGTTACTGGTGCAAAAAATTATGTGGAAAATGTGATTGATTGTTAGTGAAAGATTTTACGCATTTAGTCAATCTACATAGTGTGAATAGATCTTAAGAAAGTCTCGAAGGGGTTGTACTTCAGATAGGAACACAATAAATGACGAGGATGCTTTGACGATAGAATTATGTCTGACTGGTAAAATGAATTGAATGATGAAATCAAACTGACGAGTTAAAATGTAATATTATTATATATTATTTTAAGTATATATAAAGAAAAATGATATAATTCAATGTAAAGATTTGAGTTGCAAGCTAACACTATTTAATACACTTTGCATCTAAATAATGTTGGCAATTGACTAGATCATTAGGTTGGTTTTGAAATCAGAAATGAGAATGATGATACTAGTTCAAAAAATTATGTGGACAATGTGATTTATTTTCAGTGAAAAGTTTTACGCGTTTAGTCAAAATCTACGTAGTGTGAATTGATCTTAAGAAAGTCTCGAAGGGGTTGTCGTTCAGTTATGTACGCAATAATGGCGAAGATGTTTTGACTGTAAAATCATGGCTGACTATTAAAATGAATTGAATGATCAAATTAAGCTGACAAATTTAGAATTAATTTGCACATACTTGGTTGTTGTTTTTATTATTTTCGAATAATATTTCTATAAGTTATATAAGAATTCACATATTACACAAGATATAATATGAAATAATAATTTGACACCAATGTAAGATTTTAACATATAAAAAGACTACTTACTTCATTATGTATGTCCAAGACTTTATGGGATGTGAATAATATAACATTATTAATTAAAACAATAATTGAGATGGATTTGAATTTTAAAACTATTAATACTATAGATTAATTCTTTCCATAATGATAAGGAGAAAATATACTACAATTTAGTGATGCAAATTGCAGAATTTCAACAAATTGATCAAAGCAAATCACACGACAATTTGGTTAAGATGCTTGTCTAATTAGGTAGTTTTTCATAAACAAACATATCTATCTGGTCGAGAAAACATATCTACCATATCTATTTACCTCTAGATACACTATATATAGCGAATGTATCTCCCCTCTCTCCTTCTTTCGTCCCTTTACTTCTTTGTATTCTTCTGTCACAATGTATCTGTATATCTGATATCAAATACGTATTAACATATTTATTATATCTATGCATATTAATTTCATCTAGTATATTCAGTATCAATTTCATGTATCCACCATAACCTACATTGATATATTTGGTGCATTTATGCATAGTTCCATATTGATTCCGAGAGGACATTGACGTATCTAGTATATCTATGCGTAAATACATTTATCGGATATCAAATTTGAATAATTAGCACCTATACTAGCGTGTTTTTACGATATGATGAGTAGTCAATAAATGGGGACACGTCGTCTAAGATGCTACCTAATCTTGCTTTAATCTTTTGCTCTCACGTGGGCCTGCTGGGCCACTAGGCCCACTTATCTATTCCACGTGGGCCCAATCATCCTGATAGCAACCTTTTTACGGTAAATTTCCGATTAGGCCCCTCCAAAAAGACTTTTTTAAGTTTATTTATTTTTTGAATTTTTACAATATTATTAATGAATTTACATTAGCATATTTGACGAGCATAAAATTCAAGAAAAAAAATATTGAGATGTGTGGTCTATATATATGCGTGATCATTAATAATATGAGTCAAATTAAAAGGATTTAATCATTTATGTATGAAATAATGGAACAAATATTACATTTTTCTTGCATATAACAACTTATGTAAATCAGTATCTCAACGACTCAGATATTGTAGAGTATGTATCTGTTCCGAAAATGAGGAAGGTTTCCTCCCCTTTCGATTAAGCATATATGAAAGTAGTATTATCTCTCACATAGAATACCATTTATCTCTTAGAGTACAAAAATTTAATTTAGATTTAGATCAATAAGTTTTCAATATAAATATTGAATAATAATAATAATAATTTTAAAAAATAATTAGAATAAAGACAAAGCCAACATTTCTAGAAGGTTGAGTAATTAATGGCGCAAGCAATGACGGTAGGCAGAGAAGTAATCAATTCAAAACATGACGTAAAATAACATTTGGCTTGCTATAAAAAATATTCTTGTTAATTTTTACTTCGTAATATTCGAAATTTATTGATCTGATCAATTTTAATATATATTGAAAATGGCTCATAAAAAGTGCTTAGTAAGAAAAAATCATTCTAAAGAATTAAGATACAATTTTTTTGATTAAAAGTGACATAAGCTGATTAATCTTTAGGAATTATTTGAGTATCGAGATAAAATAGATAATAATAACGAGATATTTCATCATAAAATTAATCATCTTCATTTGTATTTTGAAATTAATATCCTATATACCATCCATCATATTGCTCACACACAATATCTATGTGAAACTATATATTGTTATCTTGATACTATCTTTTTTTATTTTATGTAATGCTATATAATTTTTAGTTTA